TTATTCTTATTACACTGACTGCTGTGATCCCTCAAAAGTAGTAAAAAACATTTTCAGTATTTACATAAACACTGAAATTAATTTTGGTATTGGTATTATAACTATGAAAATGGGACTGTGGTCAAGATAATTTGAAAAAAGATACAGAAGGATGAGCAGCAGGGGATATTTGCAGCACAGGTGGTAGAAAAGTGAATATGTGCACAAAGGTGTGTTATACATAATATGCTATACTGTGTTTTGTATTGTGTATTTATACAGTATATAAATAATGTGTGTATATATATATATCCCACTCTGGGGTTGAGGTGAATAAAATAACTGTGCTGTGACCTAAATAACATGCTGTTGCTATCTGCAGAAAGTATTAAAGCATGAAATCCCGCATTTTTAATGTAGGAAAGCATCCTGTATCATAACTACATATGTGCCGTTTGTAACAAACCAAACCGCATGAAAATCAGTTGAATATTCAGTGAGTTATCCTATTTTACTTGTGCATACAGCTCCTTCCTCAATAGAAGTGAATGCACTGTGGAGGCGAAGCGAGACCCATCCAAGATGGCGACCGGCGAGGACGTCGGCTCTGATAGGCAACGGCAGTCAATGCGGCGTCTATGTATATATGTCTATGGTCTGGTATGTGTGTGTGTCAGAGTCGTGCTGCTTGCCCGATCGGGCATGTCTGCGCAGGGTCTGCTGGCCCGCCGGCTATTTTTACTTGCCCCGGGCATTCGGGCAACCGTTAATGTCGGACCCTGCCTTGACTGACCATACTGACACAGAGCATAGTATCATGATATTTTTGTGTGGCAATAAAGTATCGTCACACAGTGCCAAGTATTGTTTTTTTTATTATATTAATTATTAATATTACAAATACAAATTCAACTGTAGGTAGCGTACAAGAGTCATATATTGAATTGCTTTTTTAGTTCACTATACAATTTCAAAAAAAATAAAAAAAAAGGCTGGAGTGAGATGAACACACCGAAAACTTTATCTTATTAGATAAAACAGGTGTCGACAAAGTTTTCCTTTAGGGGCATAACTTGCAGTTAAAAAAGATGATATCGCCATATATTTTATCACAATACATGATATATAGCAACATATTCAAAACTGCAATAACATTCGTGACCTAAGTTTCGTAGTAGTTTCCTAGTATCGTATTGTGGATCCTCTGGTCATTCCCACCATTAGTTTTCAACTACCCTGTCTATGCAACAGAATTTTCAAATTCCTGAAATTCAGTGATAGCTTTTGGTTTTGGTGTGCCACCTCAAGATTTTCAGTGGCCCCATCTGGCAACCCCTATGAAAAATTTCTAGGGATGCGACTGCACTAATGTACAAGAACAAATCAGAAACAAAATACTAATAACGATCTAATCTAACATGAGTTATTCATATCTGTCCTGCAGTACCTGAGAGAAAGCAGTAGAAATTGGTTCTTCGAGGGTTCCAGCCATAGCAGAGGCCATGTATGTCCACTCCTCAATGGGCTTTCTGTCCTTCTTCTCCTCCCATCTCTTCTTGAGCAGCTTGATGCTCGCCAGTGAGATCACTTCACCCTTCAGATATTCCACCACAGACTGGATCTAAAGGAGGGAAGGAACAATTCACGTGTATTACATAAAAACATAGAGCTATGCAAAGGACTGTTCTCACTTAGGTGTACTTAAATAAATGGTTGCTAAATCTGCCAGACCTCAGAAATGGACCGAGTAGGCACGTGTTTTTTCAGGAAATCATAGTCGATGTCCCCCTGGGCTGATGTTGTCTTGCCGAGTCTTTTCAGGGCTTTCAGGAGATTCTTCTGTTCCACCTGCTGCCACTGAGAGGACTTTCCACGTGAAGGCGGTAAAGGTTCATAACTCAGGTTTCGTGTTGGTTTAGTTCGTTTACGGGGAGGCGGCTTCATGTTGACCCACGTCACTCACACTAACTAAACTGACACATTGAACCACATCAACCGTTCACGAGACAAACTTCATCTCGTGCAGCTCGGGGAGTAACTGTCTGTTACTCACTGTTTTATTTAACGTTAAACTGAATTTAAAATAAGTGCCTTCCCGTAGACACCGTCCTGCCACAACTTGCGTTTAGCTGTAACGACAGCAATACGTCTTTCGATCGCTTCCGATGGCGATCTTTTCAAAGTAAGAGCGTCATCTGACAAATACGGACCGAATAAATTTACATTTTTACAAGGCTGAAACCCAATACAGATTTAATTCATTTCTTCAGAAAACAACTAACAACCAAACCAATTCAATAAATAAATGTTTTTTTGAAAGCCTCTTCCCCTTCATTTAAATACCTCTTCAACAGTTTAGTTTTTGTCTGCCTTGTGAACTTTTTCGATGTAAATGCATTAACAAATAAATGGCATATTTGGTGTCCCTTTTTAACTTTAAATCTATAAATACCTCACTTAGATGTATATATAATGAATCGACTTTTAAATTCATAATCTTATATATTTGAATTAAACAAGGGCCGTAGCTATGGAGTCATCACCCCCCATACATATATGTGTGTGTGTGTATACATACATATATATATATATATATATATATATATATATATATATAACCTACTTGGGGAGCATTCTTAGCATTTTTGAACATGCCCCTAACCCCCCTCCAGTATAAAGTATTACTACTGCCTTGGATTAAACATTGTAAAACGCTGTTTAGGCTTTACAAGCTTTACAAGGCTTACAAGAATACAGTTGAATTGTGAATTCTAATTACTGGGTCGTGATGGCAGTGCAGAGCATCTTATTCCCCCCCCCCCCAATCACGCGATCCCTTTTAATTTAATTTGAAGGCTAGCGGTCTAACTGCTTCCGGGTTGCATCTTGGATTTGGGAAACTTTTCGCCCTGAGCTTTTACTCACAGGTATTGTTTTCCGACAGTTCGTGCTCGTTCCCTAACAACCGTAACACTTTCTATTAATGATTGTTAATGTGAGGGTAAACATGCTGAAGACAAGAGGTCAGCTGGATGTGCAACGTGAGGTGAGCACTGTCTGCCAGACGAAAGGAGAACAACTGTAACCAATCTGGAGAACTACCAAAAGCGACTTGACATTTTTGTACATTTGGCAACACATGCATAAACCCAAAGGTGATATCCACAAGAAAGCTACCTTCTTTGGCAAGAAAAGAAATATGTGGCAGCGGTGGGATTCGAACCCACGCCCCCGAAGAGACTGGAGCCTTAATCCAGCGCCTTAGACCGCTCGGCCACGCTACCAGTGAACATTAATTGTAGAGACTTAACTTTATAAAATATAAAAAAACATATGTTCATTGTCGATCTAGTGTTTTTTTTATGTATGTGCCAATCGACCACATCTATGCAAAAGTGCTTTCCTTCCAAGATGGCAATTAAATGCAGCCTAGACTGAACAAAAATATAATATACACAAAAAGCTTGTTTCTGTCTAATTTTGTTTACAGATATGTTAAAATCTGTTAGTGAGCACTTACACCCATGGCCATGACAATCCATCCACCTGACATGATGCTGATTAAACTGCATCATTATTACACAGATACAATAAAAATAATACAGTAAAAGGTCAGCTTTATATTTGCAGTTTTATCGTGAACAAAAAAAAAGACATTTATTAGGATTTTACATGACTAGGGTGACAGAAAAGCATTTTGTCACAGACACCCCAAAGAATCAGTCAGTACCTAGTGTGACCATCATTTGCTTCATGCAGTGCAACACATCTCCTTCGCATAGAGCTTACAGGAAGTGTGTACATATCCTTGCACATGGAGCAGTGAATTAACATGTTGCAACAACGCAGCAGATGAATAGCATCGCAATCTGTCTCAGGATTTCATCAAAGTATTGCTGTACATTCAACATGCCGTAAAAATAAATGCACTTACGTTGGTTGTCCATAGCTTAATCAAGTCCATACCATAACCCCTCCACTACCATGGGAATCTCTGTTTACAATGTTGGCGTTAGCAAACCTCTCGCCTACAAACTCCATACACACCATCTGCCCAGTGCAGTGTAAACCAAGATTTATCTGCAAGAGAACACTTCTCCTAAGTGCCAGACGCCGTGGAAGGTGAGCAGTTACCCACTCAAGTTGGTTACGACGACGAACTGCTGTGTTCAAACCAACAATTGCATCAAATGTCCAGGTGGCTGGTCTCAGACAATCTTGCAGGTGAGGACGTTGGACGTTACATGTGGTCCGCAGTTGTTCGGCCAGTTGGAGGTACTGCCAAATTAATGGAAATGACATTGGAGACAGCTTATAGTAGTGAAATGATTTAGTTCACGGGTAACAGCTCTGGTGAACATTCCTGCGGTCAGTATAACAATGACCAACATATTCTCAGAATGGTTTGTGTAATATCCTATGAAAAATGCATGCACAACAGTTTGTGTGCTATCCGACAACTTTGCGCCCCACTAGTGACAATAGGTCCTTAACGTACAGTTACGTAATTAACATAAATTTACAAAGGCTAGGTTTAGGAAATAAAAGTTACTGTTACTACACATTGTAGAGCTACCTTTTATTGTGACCATCCCAAGGCACACCTGTGTAGTAATGATGCTATTTAATCAGCATCTTAATATGCCACACCTGTCAGGTGGATGGATTATTTTGGCAAAGGTGCACAAAAATGACTTAAGAAACATACAGACAAACACTGATCTATGTGCTCCTAGTGGCTTGAAACTCTGGCTGGCTCATTTCAAAACAAAAAACTTGCAATATGATTTGAAATAAGCACTTGGTGGCTACCTAAGTAAAATGCTTTAAGACTGAGGATAAGGACAGTAAGATGAGTTTGCGCTTGGGTTTCTGGAGTGTAAACTTCCCCAAATCCTACAATAAGCAGGACAGCAGTTGTGTATTTTTTTCATTACTGTACCGAAAAAAAACGAACCGTGACTTGTGTACCGATACACCCCTACCGAAAACCTAACCTATGTAACTTGACATTAATAACTTAACGTGAAGATCCCATCCAAGTTGCTTTTACCAAACCAAACCAATGTAACAACGTTAACTACATGACTTGACAAAGGCCAACCATTTTTCTTTTCCTAAACCTAACCTACTTAACTTTACTTGCATAAATCAAAACTTATGTTAAGTACACAACTTTACATTAAGTATGTAACTTGACAAGAGCTAACCATCTTTCTTTTCTTAAACCTACTCTACCTAAATTTACTTGCCAAAGCCCTAACGTAAGTAAGTTTATGTTGAATACCGAATGCGATGATGCCCTACCATGTTTCTTTTCCTTGTCCTAACCTACATAACTTTACTTGCATAAACCAAACCTACGTAACTTTACGTTATGTGCGGAATGTGAAGTTGCCCAACCATGATTCTTTTCCCTGTCCTAATCTATATAATTTAACTTGCCTAAACCAAACCTACGTGACTTAACGTTAAGTACGTGACTTGACAATGGCCAACCATTGTTTTTCTAAATCTAACCTTTACATGCATAAACCTACCATATGTAACTTTACGTTAAGTATGTAACCTAAAGATGCCCAGCCGTGTTTTTTTTCCTAAACCTAACCTACGTAACTTTACATTAACTACGTAACGTAAAGATCCCAACCAAGTTTCTTTTCCCAAACCAAACCTATGTAACTTTACGTTAACTACGTAACTTGACAAAGACCAACCATTTTTCTTTTCCTAAATCTAACCTACTTAACTTTACTTGCATAAACCAAAACGTATGTTAAGTACACAACTTTACATTAAGTTTGTAACTTGACAAGAGCTAACCATCTTTCTTTTCCTAAACCTAATCTATCCAACTTTACTTGCCTAAGCCCTAACCTAAGTTTATGTTGAATACCTAATGCGATGATGCCCTGCCATGTTTCTTTTCCCTTTCCCAACCTACATAACTTTACCTGCATAAACCAAACCTACATAGCTTTACGTTATGTACGTAATGTGAAGTTGCCCAACCATGATTCTTTTCCCTGTCCTAATCTACATAATTTAACTTGCCTAAACCAAACCTACGTAACTTTACGTTAAGTACGTAACTTGACAATGGCCAACCATTGTTTTTCTAAATCTAACCTTTACATGCATAAACCTACTATTATGTAACTTTACGTTAAGTATGTAACCTAAAGATGCCCAGCCATGTTTCTTTTCCCAGACCTAACCTATGCAACTTTACTTGCCTAAACCTAACCCATGTCACTTAACATTAAATAGGTAACTTTATGTTAAGTAAACCAGACCTATAACTTAACGTTAAGTATGTAACTTGACAACAGCCAACTAGGGCTGACCCAAAAAATTAGAAGCTTCGAAGCTTCGTTCGATGGCACGGGATTTGATTGTGGAAAAAAAATTTGACGCTTCTGCACTTTTTTTTCTCCGTCTTTTTTGGGGGAGGCCTTAAACGCAACACTAACCCCCACCAGTCCGATACTGACAACGAGCGCACTCAGAGCTGGCAGACATGTCCAAGAGGTCATCAGTTCCACTGGTTTGCTCTGAGTCTGGTGTCAGAGACACTTCTGATGCTCTGAGTTGCGCATCTGTTTGATTGTGCTGCAGTGTGCGCCGAGGGTTTTAATTTAGTGTTCAATCAAAAGTTAAACACTACTTATCACTGACCATTAGTGTCTCCCCCTAAATCTAACAGCACTTGCCTAAATCTAACCTACTGTACTTGCCTAAATCTAGCCTACCTAACTGTACATTAAGTAAATTACATAACGTTCAGTATGTAACGTGACATCACCATTTGTGGGGCACTAATTTGTTAGATATCATATTAACCGTTGTATGAGGATATGTTGAATAAATAGAGCACATATGGCCGAATTACAGCTCCGCCTGCTAAATTTACATATTGAGATCTGATCACAATGTGGGCTAAATGAGAATAATTAACCAGGCTTAATCACAGCAGGTGTAAGGACTAACTGACATGATCAGATGTCAAAACATAAGCAGATAGTGATCAAATGTCAACACCGGGTAAAGATGGGGTATAATATGTGTGTGTGTGTGTGTGTGTGTGTGTGAGAGAGTGAGAGAGAGAGAGAGAGAGAGAGAGAGAGAGAGAGAGAATGATGGGTTTTATAGGCTA